CGCCTCGGCGGCGCCGCGCGGCGCGCCGCCTGCAGCTGCATTTGGCCATTGTCATCGCCGCCGCCGCCGTCGCCGCCGCCGCCGTGAGGCGCGGCTGGGGCGGCTGGGGCGGCAGGGGCAGCGGGGCCGGCGGGGCCGGCGGGGCCGGCGTGTGCATGGGGCGCCGCGGCCGCGGCGGGCGCCTGAGCCTGGGGAGGCGCGCCGCCGCCGGGCTGTGCGGCCTGCTGCTCGGTGACGACGGTCTCAAAACCTGACTTCTCGCGAGACGCGAGGATCCTGTTCTTGTACTCGCAGAACTCCAACGTCATGAACGCGGCGCTCTTGACGACGTGCGGCCGCAAGGTGTAGAGGATCCGCAGGCAGAGGTGCTCCTCCGCCGCGGCCGCCGACATCCCCGTCGCCCAAAACTTGCGGGTCTTGGCAGTGGGCGTCCCAGGGTCCTGCGATTTGGTCCGCCAGCAGCGTGGGGGATGTGGAGCCAACGCGCAGACCCAGTGCAGGCGCGGGGGCTGCTGTATTTACAATGCGTCGGCTGTTGCCGGCAGGCAAGCGCCATCGAAGGCGCGTGCTGCTCGTGTGAGCGCCGAGCTCACCGTCATGATGCGCGCCCGCGATGTGAAAAGCTGGATGGCCCTTAGGCCGCTGCCGGCCCATGCCCCGGCAGGATATGGAGGGCCGCATCTTGTGCTAAATTTCATTTTTGGCATCAGCCCTATAACCGACGCGCGCACATTGCCCGGCACGGCCCACGGGGGCAAGGGCGCAGCGGCTGCATCCCTGCCTGCCGGCACTGCTGCCTTTCCTCCCGGAGCTGGGCCCGCGCCATGCTGCTGCTGCTGCTGCTGCTGCTGCTGCTGCTGCTGCTGCTGCTGCTCCTGCTGCTGCTGCTGCTGCTGCTGGCCCAACTCGGCCCTCGTCTTTTTACAGGGGCTTTTCTCCCCCTCTTGTACCGCTGACGCAGCAGGCTGGTCGAGGTCTGGCGACGCGACGCGCTTCCCGGCGCCTCCTGACGCCATGCACCTAAGATGAAACAAATATCAAGTAAAAGCGCTCTAGGGACAACTGAAGGCCTCTTGAGGTCGGGAGGCTCGAGCCTGCGGTCTAGGCTCAAGTCAGATACGCTGTGTTGACCCGTGCAGCGCGGGCAACATCGCTCCAGCAGGAGTGGGATCGCATTAATTGTCCATCGGAAGAACGCTCTCACCTCGTGGGGGCGCAGAGGGGTCTGCCCGCTCTTCGTCGGCTCGCAGATCTGTGTGATTGGCGGCCTATCTGGTGTTGATTGGCATGTGGTGTGTTGAACTCAATTGATCATTGCGTCGAAACACGCAGGGTGTGAGCGCTGTTTCTTGAAGGTGCACACGTGCGCCAAAACTGTCAGACTGCCCTCCAAGCACATCACCGTGTCAACCGGCCGGCTGAGCCGTATGCTGCAAGCGTGGCTGTAATACTTACAAAGTGAAGCTCTCAGAATACAGCACTGGGGGCCGGGGGAGAATTTGCAGCTTTTGCTCGCTGTTTGTGCAGACAGCAGCTGTGTTCATGTTCGCATGGCCGCCCCTGCATGCGCTCATGTGCCATGCGGTGTAGCATCGCCCCATGCATGCTGCATGCCAGCCTCATGTTCACTCACATGCTCTCTTTGATTTCATGTCTGCACTTCTTGCGAGGCACAATGGAACCATGCATGCCCCCGCCTCCAAAGCGGCATGCCGCGGTCAGCAGGGGCAGCACCTTGGTCAACCCTTGGCAGCTGCCAGGGTCAGCAGGAATGATGCGCCGACCCCATATTTTCAACCATTCTTGAACCATGGTGTCAATATTATGCAGGATCTGAGAGGTCAAGAAACGCCAGGACAATTCCTCAAGGCAGTTGCCCAACCCCATCTGCAAGGACCCGTCAATCGCGAAAACCCAGCATTGGGGTGAGCGGCCTGCAGAAAACCATGACAGCTGACCATATTTCAAGGTCTCTTGGGGGAAAAAGCTGAAGCTAATTGGGGCCTGGACCAAAGCTGAAGTTAATTGAGGCCTGGATCATGTGCATGCATCTACAAAAGAGTGACTCTGTGTGTAAACCAGCAGCTGAATCCTTCAACAGCGGAATGCTACGGGAGGCTGCTGCTCGTCCTGTGATTTGGTACCAATGCTGCCTTGCGATACTGCACCCCTGAATCAAACGCATGAAGGGAGAACTTGGGACTCGCATCAGCAAAGCAGCAGCAATCATGGGCGGCACAACAGCCCCCAAACTGTTGCCTGGCAAGGCAAAATTGCTTGCTGCTCGCAATGAACAGCAGATGGGCAGCTGGGCGGCCTCACCTGTCATGACCATGGATTGATCAATACAGCAAGTTGTTGCGGATTCCTCAGGATTTGTCCTCACCCCTGCAACCTCGTCTAGTGGGCGCTTTATGCTGTGTGCACCTCGAAAGCGTGCAGGGTGGCACAGGCGGCAGTGGCAGCGATGGTGCGAGGCCCTCAGCCGGCAGCTGTCCGCAGCGCTGGGCCGCAACCAAAGCTCATGGATACGTGGCAGAGGGGCGATATTGTGGACTGACGCACACATGTATGCATGTTTCACGTCACGGGGCAGCCTGGCCCGGCGGCCTCACCTTGTAACATGGCCGGGTCAGCAAGCACACACCTGAACTTTGGTACGTAGGAGCATGTGGCGGCAGTATGAGTACCGTAGCGGCGGCCGTCCCACAAGCCAGCACCAGTGAATGGGCAATCAACCCCCTGCAGGTGCAGCAGTGCGCAGAGGGCCGCCGTCAGCATGTGCTGTGACGCAAAAGTGCCAAAATATCCTGTATCTCACCGGGTGCCCCCGCACCCAATCACACTGAAGGGCTGTCAAAGCGTGGTGCAGTTTGTTTGTCTTCGGTTGGGGTATTTGCCGTGGTTGCGCACAGGAGGAGCCAGGGAGGACAGCAGCAAATCGAGGCTGGGCAGCGCCTTGAGATGGGTCGACCACCTGCAGGGCTCGCAGGTCGACGAGCAGCCACGCTGCACAGGTAGGCGTTTTGGATGATTGTTTTTTCTCCAAAGCGAGGTGGCGCGGTGCAGGCGAGCCACAACAGATCGAACGCTCACAGCGCACGATCTTGTCCGCAGGCCGTCTGCACGGCCCATCGCGGCCCCACACACGCGCCATGCGTCGCTGGTGTGGGGGCTGCGGCGCCGGCTCGCACCCGTTCGCGTACTGGAGGCGTCGCGCGCGCCAGGCGGCAGCAGCAGCAGCAGCAGCACGGGCGGCAGCGGGGGCACAGGCGACGCCGCGTCCCGAACTCCACTCGCTGGCCCTGAGCCCGCATTCCAAACGCGTCTGCAGCAGCAGCAGCTGCAAGTGGACGAGGCTGTGGGCAGCGCCGGCGGCGAGCCGGCGGCGCCGCCCCTGGAGGCCCTGCCCGGGCAGCAGCTGTCGGTCAGTGCGTACGACTCAGCCCTGTCCTCCGAGGTCACTCGCTGCGAGGCCGGCACGTACCACGTCCGCGTGACGGGCCCGCCAGGGGCGTCGTTCGTCCTGCACTGGGGCTGCAACAACTGGGAGCTCCCGCCGGCCGGGGCGATCCCGGCCGGCAGCCAGCAGGCCGGCGACAGGGCGGTGCGGACGCCGTTTGACTCCTATGCGGGCGCCTCTGCCGTGACCCTGGCGTTTCCCGAGGCGCTCTGCCCCGAGCGCATGGTGTTTGTAGTGCACGACACCGCCAGCGACACGTGGATCAGGGACCACAGCGCGAATTTCTCGCTGCCACTCAGGTGCGGCTGGCCGCTGCCCCGGCCAGCGCCCGCCCTGCTAACAGGCAGGGCGGTGGTGGGTGAAATCTAGGTCGGGCCTGCAGCCGCGTTCTTCAAGCGCGGCGACATGTTTGCTGCGGTCGCGACAGCAAGCGGGGCTCGCAGCTGGGGAAGAGGCCGGTCCAGACGCAGAGATTTCAGACTGCAATCAGTCCAGCGGTTATCGCATGCAACCTCGCGCCGCAGCCCCTCTCGCTCCCCCAGATTTGAAACCCGGGTCGGCACACTGCCACGCAACCCCCCTGAACCACCTGCCCTGCGCCCGCGCCGCCTGCCGCAGGGCGCCCTGCCTGTCTGCGCTGGTAGAGGGCGTGCTGATCGCGGAGTCCAGCTACGAGCACTGGGGCCTGATGCACCGCCTGCAGCGCGTGCTGGAGCTGCTGGACGCCGCTGAGGCCGCGGGTGAGCGCGTGTGCTTTGCCTGAGAGTGCACCACAGCAAGTGGCGGTGGTGGGTGGTTGTGTGTGAGTGGGAGGGGGTGTGGGTACACGCGTGTGTGCGCAGGCACGCGACTTTGCGGAATGCGCACTCGTTTGCACATGCTGGAGGGCACTGTGGCGCGTGGGAGTGTGTTGTTTCCAGGGGTGCTGTCGCTGCTGATTGGTCGGCCAAGGCCCGTATGCAACGGCCATCCTGCAACGCGAACCAGGCCCAAGCGGCATGGCGTTTGTGTACACGTGGCTGCGGCTGAGCAACGCCAAGCTGCTGGACTGGGCTCGCGCCTTTAGCTACCAGCCGCGCGACATTGCCTGGGCGCAGCAGCAGGTGCGGGCGTCGCTCGGCTGTTGCCCCCGGCTCCCGCAGGAGGCTCCAGCGGGACCCGACTAGCAAGCTCGCGGTCGCAGAATTTGCTGGCAGCAGACACCGGGACACCGCGGATGTGCGTTGCGTGCTTTGGACTCTGCTGCGGCAGCGCCCCTGCAAGTGGGCGCAGCAAGACCCGCCTTCCGGCCTGGTTCACCCCCGCGCCACCGCCGCCAAAGCTGCCGCCGCCGCCGCCGCCTCCGCCGAGCAGGTCTCCGAGCGCGTCGCCGGCAAGGCGCGCGGCGCGGCCGACCCCCGCGTCCGCGGCTACGCGCGCATGGCGCTCGGCGGGCTGTCTCGCGGCGGCACGCACGGCGACGAGATCCGGCACGGCATCCTGAACGTGATGCGGGACTTTGGCATCCGCGAGGGCAACCGGCCGGTGAGGCCGCTGGGCCGGCGCACTTCTTTGCCGGCCAGCTGTTGTCGGTGTCGAGGCGGGCCAGTGCTGCAGCCGTCCGGCTGTAGTGTAGCCTGCCCCGTCCTACCACAGGGGCAAGGGCAGGGGCGGGGGTTGGCGTACGAGCATGGAAGCACGCGCCCCTGAGGTGCGCTGAAGCATGCATGTAGGTGTCGCGTCATTCGCAAACCTGTTCCATGCACGCGGGCCCACACCTCAGGGTCTGGACGAGCCGTGGCTGGAGCAGTGGCACCAGAAGCTGCATCAGAACACCACGCCTGAGGACGTCGTTATCGCAGGTGGGGGATTACTGAGCACCCTGGCGGTTGGAGGCGGGCAGGGGACGGGCGGCACATCGCGGCAAGCGGCTCTCCTTTTTACAAGTGGCCGCCTACGATTCGCCGCCAGCCATACGCCACCCACCTGCCGCATGCTTCCGACACCAAACGCCACCCCCTCTACCCCACAAATCCCCACTACCAGACGCCCACATTGCGTTCCTGCAAAGTGGCAACCACGAGGACTACTGGCGCGTTCTGGCGGACAACGGCCTCACCAAGGAGCGCATAGAGTCATGGGACCAGCCCCTCACATGTGAGCCCACATCCCCCCTGGGCCCCCAAACACCAACACACGATGCTAGCCCTCTGGTATCCAAGCCGCAGCTGCTGAGCTGTCCCAGCCAAGCGCCGCGCGCCGTGTTGCCGCGGCTCGTCTCCCCGCACACAGCTTTTTAGTGCTCGCTGACGCCTGCCATTGCATACGTGCTGCTCTTTCCCCCAAACAAAACACCCCCTCCCCCCCCACACACACACACACCCGCAGGCCTGCCCCTCCACCTTCCGCACCTGCTGCCGGCCATGCAGCACTACCGCTGGGTCCTCATGACCTGCCACTCGGGGGCGGAGCTGGAGGTGGCGCTGGAGATGGCCAAGGGACACCTGTCAGACGACCTGCGGTGTGTATTTCAAGGGGAAAAGGGGGTGGCTCCGGCTCAACCGCTCCCGCGATGCTGGGGTGTTCTTCTCCAGCCGGCTGAAAGACAACCGTTATTGCCGCTCTTACACACACGCCCTGCTGTGACTCTCCAGCAATGCAAGAAGATGCAAGGAAATCACTGCTGATTTACAACCCCCTTCTTTCCTCGCTTTGTTGCGAGTATTGTAGCGGTTGCCTCCACCCCTGCTTCTGGCAAACCCGCCCAACCCACCAAATCCCGTCGAATGCACCAACCCTGAACCCCCAGGTGGCACATGTACGACCTGGCCGCCCACCGCCACGCCTGGTGGGCCCCTGGCAAGTGCCTGGAGCTGCGCCGCCGCCTGGCGCCCATGGTGGCGCACCCCAACGCATCGCGCGACGTGCAGCTGCTGGACATCGCCCTCGAGTCCTGGCTGCGCCTGCTGGTGGAGCGCACCGACCGGTGCGTAGAGGGCGCCTCTGGTTTTGCCCCCAATCGCCTCCATTGGGTCACGCCCATTGTTGGTGCCTTTTCCTGGCTCTTGCCATCTGTGTATTTGATGAGGGGTTGAAAAGATTGGGATCACGAGGCTCCCTGGCGGCCTGCTGTCATTGCGGCGCTGGCGAGGTCGGCTGCATAGTGTGTGGGGGTGTTTCGGCGGGCCCGGCTCGCCTCTGCTGGGCTGAGGGGCTGGCCTGCCCGCTCTGTGGTTGTCGCCGCTTCGCCTGGCCTGGGCGGCGGTGCGAGGTCGAGGGGTGCCCCACAGCTTTACGGTGCCCACGCCTCGGGCCCGTGTCGTCCCCCTCCCCTTGAACGGCGCAACCTGTGAACTCTCTCGCACCGCGTGCGAAGCCTCACCAGAGCACCCGCTACCCTGGCGCGTACAGGGGTATGCTCGCTTGAACCCCCCTTCTCCCACACCCCTTCACCACCCAGGCCCCTTCCCCTCAGCCTGAACCCTGCCACCCCCCCTAACCCTGCTT